CATGCTATACTATGACTTTTTTATGCAATTTTGAACGACATGCTATACTATGACTTTTTTATGCAATTTTGGACGACATGCTATACTATGACTTTTTTTTGCAATTTTGGACATCATACTATACTATGACTTTTTAATGCAATTTTGGACGACATGCTATACTGTGACGTTATTGTGCAATTTTGGACGTCATACTATACTATGACTTTATTATGTAATTTTGGACGTCATACTATACTATGACTTTTTTATGCAATTTTGAACGACATGCTATACTATGACTTTATTATGTAATTTTGGACGTCATGCTATACTAGACTTTTTTATGCAATTTTGGACGTCATACTATACTATGACTTTTTTAACATATTTTGAGCGACATGCTATACTATGACTTTTTTATGCAATTTTGAACGACATGCTATACTATGACGTTATTATGCAATTTTGAACAACATGCTATACTATGACTTTTTTATGCAATTTTGGACGACATGCTTTACTGTGACGTTATTATGCAATTTTGAACGACATGCTATACTATGACGTTATTATGCAATTTTGAACGACATACTATACTATGATATTTTTATGCTATTTTAAATGGCATATTATACTATGATATTTTTATTCGAATTCGAACGACATGCTATATTATGAATTTTTTTAGCTATTTTGAACGACATACTACAGCATGAAGTTTTTATGGTATTTTGAACAACATACTATACTTTTTTATACAATTTTGAACAACATACTATACTTTTTTATACAATTTTGAACGACATGCTATACTTTGAAGTTTTCATGCTATTTTGAATGACATATTATACTATCCTTTTTTTAAAAAAAAAATAAATCTTGTATGACATACTTCGCCATGATGTTTGTAATGTATTTTGAAGGACTACAGTGGAGTCTGGTTTTAATGTGTTACTTGATTCTATAAAAATGAGTATGTTGTATATGCCAAGTGGCATGCTCATGATGAGTGACACTGCTCACAAATGGTCATACAGGTGTATGGGTGGAAACTCCATACTGTGGAGATCACTACTGCGCAGACTCTGGCTCCAAATTAAGCCACCTGCGCAAGGTAAGAGCAGCCATATACAGGATATTTTGGCTTAATTTTTGAACAGCGTGAGTAAGCAGTGGTATAATATGCCATTAAAATATATAAAACCTTTCCTACTTCCAGCGTTCACAGTTGACATATCACATCACAACATATAAACACAACCAATAAAACAAATTTACAAAAAGAATACAATAAAATATTATTTTGAAAAGTTGAGTGTAGTTGTAGTTGAGTTGTATTTTATTTATTTTTTCTTTTAACTTAAAAGAAGATACAGTTTGCATCCCTACTCTGTTCTGATAAGTCATTCCACAGTCCAGGGACCCTGACAGAAAAGGCTGTCTGCAACCTTTGTGTTTGATCTTGGAACAAAGAGAAGGGAAACACTAGAGGATCTCAGGCAGATAAACAGTAAGAAAATAATTGTTAGTTGCAGCCCTGATGCAAACTCAACTTACTACCCTACTTTTCCTTTTTGTTTTTGTCCTCCCATTTTTTCTTGTGTGTCTAGATATAAATACCTTAGTTGTTAGCAGACTTTCACACTTCCTCGTTAGTATAGTGGACAGTATCTCCGCCTGTCACGCGGAAGACCGGGGTTCGATTCCCCGACGGGGAGTATTTATTGCACCAGGAACAACCTTGCTGTTAACCTTGTTTCTATTTTCATCACAGTGTATAGTTTGGATATCTGTTTGATATTTTCAAACTTAAATCTTTATTTATATTTGTATCTTATTTTTGTGTTCTTTCCTACTTTCTACTACAGCTGCTGCCAAACAGTTTCCCTCAGGATACACAAAGCTGGATCTTATCTCATCATCTTGCTATGATGGGAAACCATGGACAAACTTACTGATCTGATATTAATAGAATCTGGTCTTGTTGTGACTTTAGGTGATCTTGACTTTAACACCTCATCTTACTATCAAATGCTGTTTGCCATGATGAGTGTTAACTGCTGTTAGTTGTGAGGAGGTCTTATGTTACAGACAATATTCATTTATAACTTTGTAAATTCCGACTCACCCTGGCTGGCAGACTCTGCTGAAACGCGGCCCGTATGGAGAGGCAGCAGTGGTGGAAGTTGCGGATGAGCTGTGGGTGGATTGAGCCGCTGAGCTGAGCCACCTCTCTGTGTGTCGGAGCAATGAAGATCCCCTGAACAGTTTCCATCAGGACGTAGTGGAACAAGGTGTTCTCTGCACCTGAGGTCAGTCTGTGACAATGAGAACATTTAGGTGTTTCCAAGTTGTAGCTAACATGAGCTGTATGTGCTGTTAGAATGAGAGAAAAGGATTATTTCCCATCACTTACTTCATGGTGTTGTACATCTCCTCTGTCTCCCTTTCAGTCAGGGTCTTCTTCAGTGTGCCCAGGTAGAATGGGTTCGGGTGCTTCATCCTGGGAACCTGATGTCAAAACATACAACAAGTCAAATAATTACAGTCCATTACAGATTATATAAAATATTAAAAAAGATTAAAAAAGATTAAAGGCAAAAAATATAGTGAAAACTTTAAAAAAAACTCCAGGATGAGCTTCAAGTATAATATTGTGTTCCTTGGTCATGGTCTCCCTCCTATGTTTTACATTTTATAGATAACCTGCTCATGAACAGTTTATGAACATAAGACATACATAATAAAAGACTACAGCCGTACCTTGAAGAGGCCTCCGCTGCCCCCACTCCCATCAGACCCTCCAGACCCCAGCGAGTCCCGACGCCCCCCTAACTTCCTCCCAGAGTCCGGGGTGGAATGTGGACTGAGGCCTGGAGCCATTGATGACCCAGACCCTGACCCTCCATCCATCTGTCCCTCACTCCCGCTGTCCGACAGGCTCCTCTGGGGGCTGGACCTCCGAGCCTTCTCCCCAAACAGGCTGCGGCCTCTGGCCCCTGTGGAGGAGCCTTTAACTGCCCCAGCTAGCTTGCTGAAGACGGGGGAGGAGGAGGCCAGGCTGTCCAGGCGGTCGCGAGCCGTGGCAGCAGGGAGGAACCAGTCAGCACATGACAGGCAGGGAGCAGGTGGAGCATTCAGACGCTCTTCAATACCTGCCTCCAACACCTCCAGCTGCAGCAAAGTGGCCTTCACCTGGAGTCACAACATCAGAGAGTGTCACTTTACACTGTAGTGATCAACAGATCAGTTTGTACTTTAGAAAGAGATGGCTATAAAAGCCCCAGTTGTGAGCCTTTCCTCCACCTTCCTTGTTAGTATAGTGGACAGTATCTCCGCCTGTCACGCGGAAGACCGGGGTTCGATTCCCCGACGGGGAGTATTTATTGCACCAAGAAGCACAAGTATGTGAAGCATGTTAGGAATTTATTTAAAGTTCAAAAAGGTTCACCTGATCTACGTAAACACAGTCAGGTCCTGGAGAACCCAGAGCTGGTGAAGCACAGCCGCCTGCCTCCAACAGCACACACTGCATGAAGTGCCTCTGAGGTGGAGAGATGAACACATACAAGCAGAGAAAACAAACATTACTATGAGCAGACACTGGGAAATGACACGTGGATAACAAAGTTCAAACCAACCACCAGTCAGTGAACTGCCTCCTTACCAGCCCCACTATGAGGAGGAAGTGCCGTCCTTGAGGCTGACTGTAGCCTGGCGCAGTGTCGCTGCTGCTGTTGGCTCTCTGCTGAGGAAACACCTCCCTCCAGATGACCAGCTGACCCACCCGCTGCTCAGATGCCAGCGGCAGCAGGCAGTAGTGCTGGCAGTACAGGCACACGTCCAGCAGGTCCTCTTTAGGCAGATGGTTGGCGATCAGGTAGGACTAGAAGGTGAGTGTGTACACAGTTTAGTAAGATCTTCAGTGAACAAGTGTCGAGGGCTTGGAGCCAACATTTTGAGTCAAAATTAATTTTGTAGAGTTAAATAAAACCTCAAAATTTTGCAAATACAAAAGCCTTTTCCAATTTTATTTGTAACTGCCTACATTTTGGCTTTCTGAAAAGAAGAGCATCCATTTTGACTTTAAAGGAGAGGAAAAAAACATCCACCTGGTTTCAGCACCTTGAGAGGTGTTTTGCATCTGGATCCATTATCAATCAATCAATTATTTGTCACATGAAAATACAAGGTACAACTCAAGTAAAATGGGATAACTTTAACTTGTGCACTGTGATCTACCTATCTATTAGTGTCTCTCAAATGGTTGTACAGCTACCCCTAGGGGTACTTTAGAGTACTGTAGGGGGTACGTCAGATTTTGTTTTTTAATGTTTATTTTAAAAATATAAGTCACGCATGATTCCTTAAATAATTATAATAAATTCAATCAAAAAATGTAAATGTAAGTTTAATAAACCACATTTTATATTCATTATTCTTATTTTCTAAGCCATTGTTCACTGCCATAAACAAAAACGAAGGAATACTTCGCACATCTGGGACAAGAAGAATAAAACTTGTAGAAAAGACTCCCACACACTGTCTAACTTGCAAAAATAATGATTTTAATGCTGCAATGTTTCCGAGACTAGACCTTCATCGGGCAAACAGTGTTAGACAACAAGTTAGAGAATGTGCTGGAGTCTTTTCTACAACTGCTGTAAACCATCAACTGCTGCAACAAACACAAAAAAGTTCACAAAGGGGTGTCACAATATACTGGAATTGAAAATAACTGTGTTATATTTGAAAGGGGGTACATTATTTAAAAAGTCTAACAACCACTGATCGATATAAAACAAATCTTTCCTAGAGGTCGTATCTTGTTTCCCTGTGTATACTGTGATATAAATAAATGAAAATAAAAGATCAAATTCTCTTTTTTTTCCACCGATACCCCTTGCATTTAAGTAGGTACACAAAAAAATCATCTACAGCCAGTTAAATGTGATGAAGCAAGGCGAGCCAGGTGATTCTCACACCTTCACTGTAACAGGACACAACACAGTCGGCTGCCCTCCTTCTGCCCTTCGTTAATATTTGAACAGATTAATGAGGTTGATGATTTGTCACAGAGCCACAGAACAGGCTGTTATCTTGTTTGGAGGGTCACCTTCTGTTAGCTGAGTCCTCTATTTTTGCCATTTAAGGACTGCTGTCTAGACGGTGGGGTATGATCAGGAGGAAGATATTACTGTGATAAGGCACTGAGGCGTGTGTGTGTGTTTGTTTTGACTGATGAACCCACCTTGTAGAACAAACAGGAGCCAAGAATCACATACAGGCGCCTCAGGCCGAAATAGTCCTCAGACTGTTGAAGACATGAAGACAAAGATAAAAATACAAGAGCGTAAACAAAGGCTGAAATCACTTTCGAAGAGTAAGTGAGACATTATTCATCACTATTGTAGCCACCAGTCTTATTTTACGAAGTATACGTGAGAATAATGAGCAGAGGAAATAAATATACTTAACAAAGTTTGGTGTGTATATGCGTTACATTGTGAGAGTATGTCAGTATATATGTTAGATGTCCAGTGTTTAACTTTTTGTGTCTAAATATTTGCATAAAAGTGGAAAAATCTGTGATGAAGAATTAAAAAACTTAAGTTTAATAATGACCCTTAATATATAAGTACTTCCTGCTTCAACAATCCCTGTCTCATCTAGTCTTATCTGTTTTCTGTCCTAGTGCGGCTTCATGTAATCAGTTAACGCTGCACGTACCAAGGACAAACAAGACCCCATTAGCTTCTCATTAAAAACACATACGGAGTGTACACACAAACATGCACATAAACACGCCTCTAAATATAGTCTAACCTTCTCCTCTCCCCTGCTGAGACCAGAAGACAGATGGCATCTCGCTAACATGTATCTTCACTCAACTAATGAGCAGCAGGATAAAGGAACACAAGTGATGTGACTCATTAATCGACTCAGACATCACTTTGTAATTGGCTATTGTGACATTCCTAATAGGTGGTACATGTTTAAAAGTGCTTTATGCTTGCCAGACAGCAGTACTGGTGTGTTTTCTCACCATTTCTCCAAAATCTGAAGACTCGAAATCAGAGAGGACTGTATCTACCTCCATCTGTGGACAAAGAAAAATATTCAATTCAGTCCAGATAGTAACTGATATATTGTGTTGTTTTCAACAGTGGACACTAGAGGGCACTATAGCTGCATGGTGACAATATTGTCATTCAAACAGGTAAGGACACAGGGACACTGGGATACACAAAAATCTGGTATCACTGCATTTACTGCTACTCCAAGACTAAATTAGATGTATGAATAACATTCTTGTCTCTGTCACACACACACATTAAAAAATGCACCTTGATTTCTGGAGGCAGTGTGAGCCATCGGACCGCCGGCAGCCCGTCGAGAAAAAGGGTCCCTGAGACGTCCGGGGGCGGTGCTAAGGAGCCGTCCCTCAAACGAGACGGCTGGATGAGCTGCTGGAAGAACAGGCAGAAGAAGTGGTCCAACCTGGGAGCGTGGTCCGCCTTACAGAACGCACTGAAGAGGACACAACAACACATGAATGTCATAATAACACATAAAAGTCATTCATGACTAACTAAATAAATAACTTTATTTTTTGAAGTAGCACAACATAATATAGGAGATATAGGAGATAATTCACAGAACAATAACAGAATGATTACATTTCAAGAACATGAGGATATTTGAGAGCAAAGACAAGGGTTAAAAAAGCGAGACAATGATGACTGTGCATGAAATCCAATTGAAAATTTTTCTTTTGCTTTGACTTGGTAAAACAAACTATTTTTATATTTGTATATTTTTGCATTAAAGGAAAACTTAACCCCCCGACAGACACTTTTGTGTATCCGTTTCACGCCAAGTGTTGTGTTGAATTCATGAAGAAAATCTTGTTTTTCTCACATGCCTGAAGGAAATGAAGGATAAAAAAAGGAGAAAATTCTTGATGTATCGAAGTCATAGGGGTCCACGTTTTAACAAGAGCAAAACATCCATTTACAAACTCTCACACAACTCATAGCCTCAACTATCCAGTTTTATGCCCAGTACTTCTGAAACATACAGCCCTTACCGACAGAACTGAATTGAAAGTGAAACTTATCCATGCTTGCGTCAAAGCCAGACTCCATTGACTCGATTGACAAAAACAGTAATTTTACCTCACTGAACACAGGAGCTGCTGGTCAGCCACTGCCTCCATCAGTTTGTTTGTTTGCAGTATCGCATGACTTGGGCAATTTAAAGGGTTAGTTCGGATTCACCAAAATCATACTATAACACAAACAAGCTATCCATTAAGATAGCGGTAGACCAGCAGCTCCAGTGTTCAGTGAGGTAAAATTACAGTTTTTATAAATGGAGTCTGTCTTTGAAGAGAGCATGGGATAAGTTTCACTTTCAGTTCAGTTACTTGTCAGAAAGGTGTGTCTTGTTTGGGAAGTAATGAGCCACTGTATCACTTTGTCTATGAGCTCTTCTCGCAGTTTGTTTTGCTCATAGAGCTTCTTCAGCTTCTCAGCCTTGTTACAAACGATGGCATCATCCTTCATGTTCTCAAAGTGATAATGTCCTCACAACCGCTGGTGGTGACGAACATGATTCCTTCCTCTCACACAGTTGTGGATGAATCAGAAAAATTCTTCCGTGCCTTTCTGCCACCCGGAGACATACAAGGTGTCCCCAAAACCCAGGTAGTGTCTGTGCTTCCTACTCAGTCTCAAATTTGGCCTCAGGAGGAGAAGAAGAAAAAGTAAGAGGCTGTGGCGCAAAAAGAAGTCTCATGGAGATTCTCGTGGAGATTCATGAAAATCAGATAAATGAGATTTTAATTATACTACACGAGTTGAGTCAGAGTTTGTTAACAGATGTGTTGTTAAACTCGGATCCCTTTGACTTCAATTCATCAAGAATTTTCTGAGTTTTTGGATTCTTTGTTCACCAAAACAAAATTTTCATCACTAACTTTATGTAACCGGCAGTGCAGTCCTTTTGCAGTGATATACAAATGATCATTTGGAGGATGAAGTATTCCTTTAGGCATAAAAAAATAAAAGCCAGAGAGGGGAAGTTTCAACCAGCTCTCTCAGCAGGACCACAGGAAAGCAAAGACCAACCCACCTGTCTAAGGAGCCGTACATCACTTTTAATGTCCGCACTACGTCTCCCACCACTGTCTGCAGATACAGCAGTGGAACCCTGGAGGGAAACAGAAAAATGTCAAACACAGACCTGAATAAACTTCAGCTTCAGGAGATCCGCTGCTTATCAAATATTTGGACTCACAGCCAGGAGCCGAGGAGCAAAAACACTTTAGAGGTTATTGTTTTTTCTACATGTGTGTGTTCCCCAAAAATCAATCTGCAGTGTGTACTTTCAGCACGGACAAGTTTATTGTTTTAACCGAGATGATGACTGATCGAGTCGACCCGGTTACTAAAAATGAAAAGGTGGGTAATGTGACTCATCCCATGAACCGTTTTACAACCACGTGTTCCTTAAAGAGGTTTTCATCCTGCCGGCAAAGGACAAAAAGCAGCACATGTGCACGCTGAATTGTTTCTACAGATCGTGCTCTTAAATATGTTTCCTCTTCTATGAAAATTATTTCTCAAGCACACGTCATGCTAAGGAAATTTAATAATGTACTAGTATCAGTACCAATGTCAGACCTTCTGTATGGAATCAACTCTTGTCATGTAATGTCTATGTTGATGGTTTCTAAGCTGGAAAAGGCCGTGGTTCAAATGAAATGTGGTGTGTAGCTCGTGTTTGATGCTGCCTTCCTCTACCTCTCAGCAGGAAGACCGATGACCAGCAGGTTGTTGCTTTCCTTCCAGTAGCCCACATGTACCAGATGTTTCCCGAGCAGCAGAGAAGAACTGAGGGTGAAACGCCAAAACATCAAAAGACAAGTGACAAAATTTTAAACAGGCAACAAGGAGGGCAGGTTTAGCATGAATACAATCTAACTGTTGTATTTTTAACATCCAACGGCTCTGCTAGCGGCCAAACTTTGCTCCCAGCTCACTGTTGTTTTAAACTCAGCTGTGAACTGTGTTGATATTTAAAACATCCAGCAGTGAGCTGGCAGAAAAGTTAGGAATTTGCGGGAGCTACAACAAAAATAATTTAAGAATTTACCATCCCCACATTCATTTGGACGCTTTATTATATTTCTTTATATAAAAGAGCCACTGTAATAGAAGATGCCTTTGTGCTGCATCTTCCCTTGTGTGCCAGTGTTTTTTCACAGGCTGGGCGAGGAAGAGGTGAAAAAAAGGATGGAAAAATCGCACCAGAAACGGCACTAAATATGATACACACATCCTCTTCATGAAACAACCTGACAACAATGTGTCTTGATTTTGAGATAAGTTAATACTTAACACTATCATTTGTTTTGTATACAACCAATACAATCTCCTTAAACTATATACTTCTATATATGCTGTGTGAGCTCTTCTATACTTCTTTAAACTATTCTACTTCTATCTATAAAATAATTAGGTGTCAAAATTATCACCCCCAGGCCAATTTAAGCTAAAACAACTGGTTCATTAATTGTTTAGTCGATAAGATATGACATTAAGCGAAAACTATTTTAAGAACTGATTAAATTACATATTTTGGGCGGGGCAACACAATGGTTTGAGTTGAAGGTGTGAGAAAGAATAGTATCAGTAACATTGTTAACACTGTGCTACATTACAGAGAAATACAAAACCGTACTAATGAACTTTCATTAATATAGGCCTATATTTTATCTACAAGTGCACGTCACACACTGAGCGAGCCGCCTGTTAATGACGCTGTGGGCTAATGTAATTATGTTATTAACTAGCCTGTGGAATAACTGCAGGTACCAGCCCTGGAAATTAACCTGACTCCTGTCTGACTGCTGAGCGTGGACACTTCCTGTGTCTGTCCTTTCAAATTAAATTTCCACATGGTCCAGTCATATAGGTTTTGATTTATTTTGAGAAGGTGCAGCTCCTGATAAGAGGAGGTTTTTTTTTTCTGCAACTAAGCGACCAATGAAATCTTTTCTCATGTTAACTTTCAATTGGTTTGATAGACTAATTGAGGCCTGTTATCTTTGAATAAATTTCAAATTGCACTTGTTTTCCCATTGTCCCCCAATTTACCTTCCTATTTTTCCATCCGATTTTCTTTTGTGAGTACTTCAGCACACTTTAATAATTAAACACTAATATGGAAGTTATTTAAAATGCACGCCCTAGTTTATATGTATTTTGTAGTTACAAACTCCATATGTACCAAAAAAATTACTATCTTTCTCTCTTTCTTTCTCTCCCACCTGAGTATTCGCCCTCCTGTGACGTTCTCCAGCATGTCACACAGAGTGAGGAAGATCCCCCTCACTCCTTTCAGCTGGCCGGACGCTTCAGACACCGGGTACTGGTACAAGATCTCCTCCTGCAGACACAAACACATTCACACATGAAAAAATGGTTAAGTGTTGCACTGTGTCGTGAAAATTATATATCCAGTGGATAGAAACATCTCTGGTGAGCCTGTATCAGCAGAAAAATGTCACATAAAAATGTGAAATATCTGGTGTCAGATGCTACAGTCACCAAAATGTGTGTCCCCTCTAAATTATGGACAGCAGAGAAGAATGAACAGATGAACCGCTGAGTGTTTATTCTGTCACCTCAACAATGTTAGTCTGGTTTCAGTTTTACTGTCCAACCCAGTCTCACTCTGGATCAAACTCAGACATGTCACTTTCAAGATGAATGTTACTCAAATATTTTACATGTTGAACTTTCCAGAGTAAAGAGAAGCAGATTCAGGAAATACAGGAATTCGACTCAAGCTCAGAGAAACTCTCATCGGCACTTTGGGAAGAGGCCGCGCACAGAGTCTCAAATAGACCTCAACCAAACTATATTATGATTAGTGCTTACCCCTGGGTGAAATATGAACGCTCATTTGTGCAATCTGGACATTTACAGGACAAAATGTCATAGAAAAAACCCTTCTTACAAACTACAGAGATGAGAAAGAGGGTTCTCGTGATAGATTCAGTGTATTGTTTGTGCTATTAGTATTCCTCTCAGCATGCTAGCAACTTGAAAAGATAAAGGGCGGATAAGAGCTGAGCCGCTGAGAGGATAAGAGGATGGAGTGGTGGGTGAGGGGATACAAACCTTGAATGAATGGGGCTTTATAGCTTTGGCAACCGGCACAAAAAACAAGAACACAGTACAACACTTCAGTTACATCTTGTCTGTACACACAAGCAAGATCACAAAATCATCACACAGCTAAAACTCCAAAATACCACCACTGAACCCTCTCCAATTTCTCCTACCCTGCAATCAAAGGACTAAAAAATCAAAGTCAAAGTTCTTGCACGACACTGTCATTTAGAAAATCAACCACTGGCTGATGTGGCTCCAGACAACCCGTACTCTCCACTGCTGTTTGGGTCAAGAAAGAAAAAAGGAATCTGGCTTGCAGATACACAAAAAGGAACTGCAGAGCCATGAAGTACAACCATAAAGAAAACATCAACCTGCCAATAGTCGTCCACAAGGAAAATGTGATTACAGTGTAGGAGGTGTTGGTCAGGAAATGAGTGTAGTTTGCTTCTCGGAGCAAGAAAACACACACTCTGGGATTAACACTTTGCTACAAGAGAATATAAAAAGATACAAACCCGTGCCCCATGCATGAATCCGAATAAAAAGGGAAATATGTTATTTTGTTCATAGACTGCTACATTTCAGCCAAAGGGCGTGTGGATTCACCCCGAAGAAGAAAAGTTCACAGCTTTAAAATGACAGATCATTTATTGACAGGAGTTGTGCTTGGGGCAGAGCGCCTCAACTTCTCCCCTTTCTCTCTCTGCTTTCTGTTAGTGGCACCCGCAGGCGCTGGAAACCGTCCAGAGCAGTAGTTTTCTGACTCAGTTCAGAGATATTCAGAAAGCTTTCCACTCCTGGACCTGGGATTTCCGATACAGCTCAGGTCGTTCTTGACACTCAATTATCAGAATACACCTCCATAAGTTCAGAGTCAGCGTGCCACCCACTGCTAAATCATGATTAGGTTTTCCCACTGTCTTTCCAAAGGGATAGAAAAATATCAACAACTGGCCTTATGTTCTGTTTCCTCTACCATTTCTATTTATGTTAAATCCATTGGCTTTATTTAGGATTTGTCTGTCCACTGTCAGCAGCACCCACCGCACACCTGACTGTCATGGAAGGAGCTTGTTTTTCCATCTCTCAGCCTGTTTCCACCGGAGGAGCTCCAACTATTTTTGGCCCTCGTTTCTCTGACCCTTACCCTATCTGATGAAAACCAGGTTACTCATTTACATGACACTGCTCGGTTACTTGAGCACAAAAAGCACTCGTCCCTGGGTGGGCTCGAACCACCAACCTTTCGGTTAACAGCCGAACGCGCTAACCGATTGCGCCACAGAGACTGTGGTGAGGCCACAGAGTGAGTGGAGTCCATCTTCTAATCCCACTTACTTGCATTTGTTTATTTTAGGAGTCTTGGCAATATGACAGATAGTTTGATTATGGCGTTTTAAATTTGTGCTACCACCAAAGCAGGGGCGTTGAGGTGGGGCTTTTAGCACTGAATGCTGCTGACTGGTCAAATACTCTGGACTTCTCTACAACAAACACTGTGTTTCGTCTGAGTCCGAGTCAAAGTCCAAGATTAACCATAAAGGAGATTTTTTGATAGCAGACTCTACTTCTGCCGTTATTTTTTTAATGCCTGCAGCTGCTGTTAATGTTTATTGTATTGTTGTGGTGCTGCACAAGAAAGGCTAATTGGCTGTGCTTCCCTCTGGTCATGCTGCCGCTATTCAGGTTAAAGTGGGAAGAAGCAGCGGGTCTGTCGGGCAGCTGAGTGAAGTGGAGCCTGAGGAGGAAACACTGGTTAGCCCCAGTTTCACTACAGGCAGATTCACTCGCTACAGGGGCGAGGAAATAAAACCTGAACAGCCAATCAGAGTGATCTCTCTCACTGACTAGCTCCGCCGCCGATTCAACATGCTCAATCAACCGAAAAGCCACCGACGCCGAAGTGCAGACGGTGTGGGATACACCGCAAAAACTAGGGCGACAGAGCCTAGAGCCTCTTGTTCTTGAGTAGATGCACACTTTCTTCTGCTCCGTGATTCGGCTGGCAGGAGAAGTTCAGTGAATAGAAAATAGTTCCCGCATGAAACTGCTCACAACAAGGTCTGTGGATTATCTTGAGTAACTGGGTCATGATTTCTGGAAAGAGACATTGCTGTTGAGTTTTTTGAGTTTATTTTATGGCACTTGAGCACCACAAGCTGAGTGCCATCTAGTTCCATTATATTGGAGAGAAGGCAGACATCTCTATGGCTGATATCTCCAACACTCTGCAACTCACACCAAAACAATCTACACTGATAAACAGATAAATGGGGGTGAACTGTCCCTCTAAGGATGCTATGGAAACACAAACAGCATTGCCTTGAGGACTCATAAATGTTTAATCATACATTTTATACAGACTGACCTCGTCGTGCGGTGATGCTGAGTCCAGTTTAAGTGAGAGGTACATGATGATGTGTGGGATGTGTCCTATGGACATCTGAAGCTCGGCTGTGTCCTCCCCCCACAGCAGACGCACCAGCTGGCTGACCGGCGGAGAAGCCTTTGTCTTACGGACCGATGAAGTGTCACTAGCAGTGCTGCCATCCAACTGAGCCACCGTCTCCAGCGTCAGTCTCACCTGGAGGAGGTGAGAGGAAAAATGGTTTGGAAAACAGTAATGGAACGAGGGGAAACGAGGAGAGACGTGAAGAACGGGACAAGCTGTGTGAAGGAGAATTTATAAAAGGAAGACAGACAATAGGGAACAAAAAAATAAAATAAAACCCCACATATTTGTTCGGTTAATATATCACTGCATCCAGTCCTTCTCAGAGTACATTCATTTATAAAATATCAGCCACTATGGCTCCACATGATTATACTCATGCGTCTGTTGTAGGAAAATAGAGGTGTGCATGTGTGCAGCGCTGCCAGAAGGGAGAAAAACTTCAATCATTACACATTCATTCAGGAAAAAGGCTGAAAAGCAAATAGCAGGATGGTGATTGTCAGAGAGAAAGTGACAGACATCCAGACCAAACCGCAGCATAACAAATAGCAGGGATCTGTGCGTGTGTTTTTTGTGTGTGTGTTCTTGTCTGAGCGTGTCTGACTAAATTAAAACCAGACCTCTGCAACCCGGAGAAACAGTGGCAGGACAACAGACGGCCTATCTTCTTTCGTTCATGCAGTATTTCTTTTTTTTTTTTTTTTTTTACTTTCCATACCCTGGTTCTTTATTTTACGCTGCCATTCATAGAAAGTCACAGTGGAAACAGAAATAGAGCCCCATGGAAATCCAACAAGCACGCACATGGAAACAGATGCAGTCAAGATGCACAGGATGAGAAACTGCAACCCTGTGGTGTTCATGTTCAAACTATCTGTCAAATCTACATTTAAATCTTGTACACTACAGGCTGCGTCAGATTATATCTCATAGAGGCTGAGCACAGGCCAAGGACTACCAAATTTAGATACTATACATCATAAATACCCCCAAAATGTCATTATGATATGCTGGTTTTCCATGTACATACGCATATCAAAAAAACTAACACGCAACTGATGGAAACACAAACCCTCTAACAACAAAAGACTGAATATTCAAACTTCACAGACTCACACTGTACAGAAGGTGCCCATTATAGACACGCTATGGTGGCATACCTGCTCACACATTGTGCTGACTCCAGGCTGAAACCTGTCAGCACTCGAGAGGCCATCAATGGAGCTGAGCTGATTTTAATTCAAGATAATCAGAGCCGGAGTCCAGATGTGAAAAAGAGCAGCTGGATTCTACAGGTTAAAAGAATGTGACTTCAGATGTGTGGTTGAAAATCACTGGTCAGGAAGAATTGTAAGAGCCCTTCAGCCAATCAGATAAACTCGTTTCCAAATTGAATTTTGGTGATATTTTCATGGTGGCCAACAAGCGTGAAGCACTGTGATGCTTCAAAGAGTGTGTTTACCTAGTTGAAAAACGTAAACAAAAATGTTTTTGAACAAGGGATGCACCAATCGAAATTTTTGCACATTGAGTCTGTTTTGAGTTGCTGCATGTCAAAAAATAATTATGACCTCACATTGTGTCAATCACGTTTCCACAACGAGTCCGAATCTTTCGTCTGTCTTTAAAATTTTCAGAACGGGTTCGATTTTCTGCGTTTTTCGCATCTGTCAGAGCCTTTAGAGTCGTTTGACTCAACAGTGAAGAAAACGTGGTGGTGGAGCACAGCCGCGACAAGACAGAGGAACAGGTCGCACTAAGATAGTTCACTTTCAGTAAGATTCAGGTGGATGATGATGAAGAGGAGGAGGGTGTGGACTGCAGAGACAGAGACTGAGGACAGCTCCGCCCCTTCATGCAGCTGCAGTGCCAAATAAAGACAGGGAGGGAGTGGTGACAGCCAGATAAGTAACTCCAGTGGAGAGAGGCAAGGCAGGAAATATGTCTTTTAATTTTGTCTCGAATTGCGAATTTTCACAACAAATAGACCAATAAAACGCATTGGAATCAGTGTTAAGGATAGACCGATACATCGGCCTGCCGATATATTGGGCCGATATTTGAGTTTTTTACTTGTATCGGCATTGGCCGATAGGCGCGTGGGTTCGCGGATTTATTTTTCCCTGGCATGATTTACAGACAGGCATCCACGGGCAGCTCTGTGTTGCCGGAAGACCCTGCAGCACACATGCAGCGAATCCTACTGTGTACAGTAGTTGTTGTTTTATTTATGCTTCAGCTTAAATATTTGTTTATTTTATAAAGACATTACTGGAAGATTTAAGAGCACTGAACTCTTTTTTTTATTTGAATGTATAATAATAATAATGATAATATTCTACCTGTTCTACCTCAACTTTCCACCTTGTTTTAGTATTTTTTACTGTTCAATAAATGTTTCTTATTTTAAACTTGAGACCTGTAATATTTGTTATCATTGTGTCATTTTTTTGATGTAAATTGAGGGAGCAAAAGCAGTATCGGCCCCAAATATCGGCTCAAGAAAATCGGCAGTCCATAATCTGTCATCGGCTAAGGGTGATGGGAAAAAATTGGTATCAGCATCGGCCCTAAAAAATCCATATCGTTCTATCCCTAATCAGTGTGCAAGGTTTCTGTGCGGTACAATGTTTTTCAGATGACTAATTTAAAAAATGCATCAAAAAAACAAACAAAAAAAAAACTGACTCAGTGTGGACGTGGAATATGCTGATATTCAGGTTTTAGGCGCATTCTTGGGACATATATACAAGTCATTTGGAATTTGGGTCTCAACTTGGTCTTGTAACACAGTTTGCGGCACAAAGCCTCTTGACGGTTTACAGTCAGCTCTGTGCGTTGTCATGGATACGTTTTACACAAACGAACTCGCAACAGTTTGCAAGGCTGAGGGAGAGATGCACGCCCTAAAAAAAAGCCCACATTCACACAGTCAGACATAGAAACAAATCGAGTGGCCTAGCGGTAGAGTGTCCGCCCTGAGCCTGGGAGGTCGTGGGTTTGATCCCGGCCAGGTCATACTAAAGACTATAAAAATGGGACCCACTGCCTCCCTGCTTGGCACTCAGCATCAGGAGTTGGAATTGGGGGGTTAGATCACCACATGATTCCCGAGCGCGGCACCGCTCCCTCAGGGCATGGGTCAAATGCGGAGATTTCACACACTCAGGTATGTGACAATCAGTGGGACTTTAACTTAACTTGACTTTTAAACATTATGAAAGATGCGGATTTCAACAGGTTTTTGGATATGTGCAACACCACCTTTTCAAGGAGGTGGATGAAGGAGTGAAAGGGGGAGGTGGTACTGACATGGTCAAACAACAAACATTTTGATGCAAAGAAGCAAAAATGGCACATGTGCCGATGCATGATCCACTTCATAAGGTCAGCATCTCTAACTGGAAGAAGAAATCATTATCAGGTTTGATGCAGGTTTAATTTCTATAGGGTAAAATGCAGTGAAACCCTGACACAAGGGGAACATCCCATAAAGACAATACAGGAGGTCTGAGGAGTTTTCCCTGGTGGAGAAACTTAGTGAAAAATCAGAGAGGCGGGCAGAGGAGTGGAGGCTCTGCTGGGATTCAACCTCAAACCACTGGGGAACCTTGCAGATCCAGATTTAACCACTACATCTTAACTGGACACGCCCCAACTCCATTTTGGCGTTTGACTGTGACACAGAATATAAGATGTGCCATTTATTGAACACTCTGTGACCACTTGCATTGTGTAAGACATCTTTTTGGACAAGGATGATCTTAAGGGCAGTCCAGCTCCTAACCCAGGCATTGTTTGTGTCTGCAACTAAGCTCAGAGAGCCGTTTAGTACGCTTCAAGAAATAAATGAGGTGTTGTGGTCATTACTTTCCAAATACGAGGGTAGCCCTAGAACATATGGTGCCTACCAGATATGTTGAGAGAAAAAAAAGATCATATTCCCTGGTCAGAAATGTAAAACTGTAGTTTTCTAATCCAACGATCACTCCTTGGACTCTCCAAGGCCTGTCAGCACTAACCACAGGCCACCCGCCTCCCCAGAAGGCGCCTGCATCTGGGCTGCCAGCCATTTTAGCCAATTTTAGGGGTATTATTAAAGAAGAGACGAGTAGTGGTGGAAGACCATGTGATCTACCTTTCAATCGGCCACTCACTCAAGTGAGAGGGAGAAACTGTGAAAGCGATATCCTTAATTTCTTTAAGACTCACAAAAGGATGCACAAAATAGCTCTGATTAGACTGAGCCGAGGAAATTAAATTCAGACGTGAAAAACGGTGGAAAACTTTCAAATACAGAAAGTCTGAATCTGAGAAATCGCTGGGTGAAGAGGCTGAGCGGGCGAACTGCTGCACTTTCTCTCATCATAAATAATAAGGATGTGGTTAGACTGGAGTGTGCTCTCACTGGAATTCCAGTCTGTTGATGTCAGTCATTTAGCACTCGCTTATAGATGGACACACACACTCGTGCACACTAATGAAGGTGTAACTGAGGCTTGTTCGGCTACAAGGGTTAGCAAAGGGCATGGTGGACTGACTTTAATACTAATATTTGTTCCTCCGAACATAATAAGTACTGTCTCTGCTCCATCTGGGAGGGCTGGCACACAGAAAAACTGTCCTCCAACACACACAAGCACGCACTCCCTCACACACTCTCGCACAAAACAATCATTCTGTCAGCAATACAACTCTATTTCAAGTTTTTTGAGAGTCATCCTGGTGCCTGAGGAACCTTGTATTTTTCCAAAAAATCTGCCTTGCTCTTTCCCTACAATGTAATTTAGTTTCCGACTACATCTTCTAATCAGCTGGGCTTCCAATCCCACAACAGCTTCCTGTGGCACCGAAAAAAGAGTCACACCGCAGTCCTGTCTATCCGCCGTGTTCGCCATCAACCCGCACGTACTCTGTCATTTGCAAATTCCTACTTTTTGATGGTCTGCCTTTTTGGTGGAAATGCACGGCTGAGGCACAGACTATGGATTTTTTAGCTACCGATCAAAAGGATCATTGCTCAGTAATTGAAGGTTTTCTAATGTTAAACGGCGCTGACTTCTGCTTTCTATTCACATTTTAGCAGCTTAGGAGAAACCATGCATTTCAAAGTAATTTAATGTCTGTGTTTACTGTCTCAGTTTGCAGTTTGTGACAAGCCAGGGTCTTAAGGACGTTAATGCTGCCTTACAAATTTGGAAAGTGAATCCAACGTGAAAAAGGGTTACACAAAACATTCAGACTGTGGGCCTCAAATAAAAAGGAGGGGCTCCCAGTATTAGAGGCTATTGCAGCAGGGTTAACACTCTCTTCTAGAGATCTTTTTCCAGAACATTGTCAGTATTGATCTAGCTGATATGACAGTAGGGCTGGGTACTGTTTAAAAAGTTATGATACCAGTAGCAAAACCAGTACCCTGAAAGCAATACCGCTGCCAATTAAGTACTTCATTTGATACCCATAATGTGAATAAAGTGGCCTGTAGTATAGCCATAAATTTAGGGCTCTCCCTCTCTGAGCCACTTTGTCTTATCTGCAGCTGACTACCAAAGAGTATCATTAAAGTAGGGGAGCTCTCACTCTGCAGCTAAATCTGGAGACCATAAGAAATACAATGCTCGACTTGAAGCAATCTTAATCAACTGAGGAGTCTAATTTCTAATTTTAAAAATTATGGTGGCATCTCGGCATGCTGATATGTCAACACTGTCGATGCACTGCACTGGACTTCACCACAGACTGTATGGGTTGTGGCTGCTCCTGCTGCAGGAGTGTGAGCTCCATGCCCCAGACACAAACACACATTGACATCAGACCCCTGGTGCAAAAGGACAGAATACATGTATCATGTGACTGAATATGTTTTCATATTACTTGGTTCTGGGTTACTTCGGGTGATACCTTAAAAGGTATCGAGTACCAATATCCAACCCTACATGACAGACAGGTATCACGCTACACATTAAGGGGTCGTACACATGCTGTGTCTTAAACCACTTGGAAAACGTGAAGTCGGGCACTGGGCGCTACCCTTGTGACTTTTTTGTGTCAGCTTTCAAGAGTGCTGCGTCAGGCTGCGTCTGAGGTTGCTAGGCAACCTTAACAGGCACCGTATCACAGCCTATTTACCTGACATCCTGAGTGCAGAGCTGATCTTCTTCCAGACGCTGTTTATAAGTGTGGCCTATCGTCCGTGGGACAGATGTAAAGCTCTGGGTACCCCTGCACTAATATGATCAACTTTTCCGTATTTATGAGACTGATATTTACGGAAGAAGGAAAAGATGTCTGTTGGCTTTTATTGGTTTTTCTTCATCACACGACATGCAGTGCTGCCCTCCAAAAGTTGAACTCAGTTTATCTCAGGACGCAGCCAACGTTCCCTGAAAAATGGGTGCTCAGGAATGCCTGCGTTGCTCTGCCGCGCATCTACATTGAAAAATAATAATAATACGTGTTATCTAGGTGTTGGAAGGTGTTGGAATGGCCCAGTCAAACACCAGACTTAAACCCAATAGAACATATGTGAAAGGAACTAAAAAGATCAAGATTCACTAGTGGGCCCACCCGAAATCTTCAAGGTTTAAAAGTGTGGAAGAATGGACCAAAATCTCACTTGAACCCTGTGAGACATTAGTTTCTCAGTACAGGAGGAGTCTTAAAGCTGCCCTTTCAAACAAAGGCTTCTCCACCAAGTATTAGGGCATTTTTATAGTAGGTATGATTGATTTGATTTATCAACTGGCATTGACTCTTTTCAGTTTATCACACCATACCAAAGCCTCTTTACAAGCAGTTCATTCTCAGCTGAGGGAAAATAGGACAATGTTGGAACAATGTTCCAGGACAACAAAAGATTTTCCAGGACATTTTATTTTTCTCTCATGTTTCACGTGTTTTCCACGACTGGAAAATCGGTCAACTGTTTCCTAGTATGCGTGGGAACCCTGCTATCAAAATCGATTCAATAGAAAACTGCAGATCGTTGTTACTGAGCCTTTATTGGGCAGATTTACACACACTGACCTGTGTTGGTCCTGGGATGCAGGACAGAACCCTCTCGATGTTCTCAGAGGTCACGTCCACATCGTCCACTGCTACAAGCACATCACCTGCGCATGGCATACAGAAAAGGAACATTTAGCAGCAGCAAACCTGGGCCGAATAATAAATAGAAAATAGATCCCAAATAATACTTCAAGTGTGTGTTTAACCAGCTTACAGTCCCACATTAAATCTGGTTTGCCGCACACCTTCAGACCAAGAAAAGGGGCCATGAGAGGAAGTGATACATGGATCTCATAGTAATAAAAGATGTCCACAAGAAAGGGAATGAACACTACTACTTGACTGTATTAATTGTGATGTACTTCTGACCCATGCACTTGGCTGTGCAGACCCAGTAAAACACCAATAAAGAGCTTCACCTGCTTGTGAGCAGGGGAACTCACCACCATCTCAGTAACAGAGCTATTTCAGGTATTTAACTGCTCTAATTGTTTAAGCATGTAGCTGTGCTGCATAAAAGCTTCTCTAAACAGTAACTCATGTGGGTAGTCATTTGTGGTGAAGCACGACTGGCGTTCCTCCGTCTGCTAGTAAAAACTGTCCGATCATTAGCCCTGATAGAAGTAAATCACTTCAGAGAGGCTGAGCTTTCAAACAGACAGATTTCAGCAGCACCAGACCTGCATTTAGGGTTTCCTTCACTCTACGAAACCATGCTGAAAGTTTCACTAGGACTGAAAATAGTTGCTGCTCAGAGTTGGCCATGAGAAGTAGCTATTAAACATCCTGCACACATTTTTAACAAGAGCATTGTGGTTTTACCAAAGCAGAGCTGAAAACTGAAACTATGATAATGATTTGTATTTCTTTGTAGTTGTTACTATGGATTCACCACACTGAAAGTGCTGAAGACAACATGATGCAGTCCTGGGTTAATTCTTGCAGTATATTCCTTCAGAATAATCAGAAACCTATCTAGTAATAATTGTTTATCAAATAATTGTTTATCTATTTTAGTTTTTGGTTTTGTACATGATGCTCATTATTTACGGCTTTGAGCTCTTTTTCTTAGAGAAGTATTTCACTGCTGGAGAGATGGTCATTTTGTAAAACTAAGCTGTCTATGCAAAAGAAGAACATACATATTTTTAAAATTGCTGCTTTTTGGCCAGAGAAAATCTAAGAAAAAAAGCCAGTGTATTCACTTTTGCTCAAGAGGCAGTAAACCTACAACAACCAGAATGCACAGTGCCACAACGGACCGATAAATGCTCCTGTTGGTGGGTGACATAATGTGACTTATAGAATAATAATAATAGTACTTATAATAGGGAAAGTAGTAGGTAGCAGAATCTTGGTTCAGCCAGCCTAGAAACAGTATGGCTCCCACTTTCAGTTCACAAACTCTCATAATACAGCCAAACAGTGCACTTAAATATGTTTCTTTAGACATTTTAGGCGAGAAATGACTATACTGGGTCATATTTGGTCAACACTGCCTACTTTTAACATTTGACCTGAGTTTGGTCTGTGTCTGAGAGAGAGAAGATCTCAGTTTTTTAGCTACGGTTTATACAAGAAAAAGTATAGCGCCCACTTCCAGTTCACAAACTCTCATATTACAGCCAAACAGTGCACTTACATATGTTTCTTAAGACATTTTAGGTGAGAAATGGGCAATACAGTGACTGCATAGGTCTGTATTTGGTCAACAGTGCCTAATTTTAACATTTGATCTGAGTTTAGTCTGTGTATGAGAGAGAGAAGGGGGGGCGGCTTGTCGATCTGCTTCTATACTCTTTCTGTTCTTGGTAGTGGTAAATGATGGCGTACAATCTGGAGTTCGAGCTCATTTTTCGCTGGCAAATGAGCAAGAAGATCTGGGCACTGGCAAGATAGAAAGGATGTTTACCACGGTTTATCTATACATATTACCCTACACTGTTACAATACAAAGCTAGTTGAAAATCAACAAAGTATCCCTTTAAGAAACTCTGTGTGTGACTGTGACTAAGACTGTGTTGTAATAATTGTAGGCTTTGGCAGTGCATTTGTGTGGTGTGGAAATGAATGAGTCAGTGCTGGTTCATGACTCCACAGATGACTGCTATTGAAATCATAACTGCTGCATAGCTGCATTTTCCCTGTCTTGACAGCAATTGATTCTCTTTGAGGATGGAGAGAGTGCCTTCTGCAGAGGGTCAGTCACAGAAAGTACTTTTCTATTACCATTTAAATTAAATGTTCCTTTCAAAGATCGTGCTTCTCAGATTAAACCCTCCTCTGCTGAGCTGTGCATAGATACAACTGCCCAACCCCAAACTTTTTTAGCAGGATAGGATAGCTCTTTACTTCTCCAGAACACTAGAGGGGATGGATAATAGCTAGTTAAGGGTTAACTTCAGTGCCTTTCAACCTGGACCTTATTTTCCAGTATTTTTGTATCTAAGTGACTAATGGGAACAACACTGTTTGAAATTGGCTCGGCATTGAGTGAGAGTGGCCGACAGCAGCTTAACAGGCTGCAATGTCCCCATTCAGGGCACTTGAGCACCGTCAATTTCATGTCCACTACATGTGCTTAGTTTTGCCACTGACAGCCCTTTTCAGCCAAATCAGCTCTGGTTCTTGAACCGGTTTCATTCAGGATTCTTGGAACCTTGGTGCCATCTAGCCCCATGTTTCCCATCTGGTCCAGCCACGGGGTCCAGATGTCTCCTTCGTCATTAGTTCAAGTTCCACACAGTTCAATACATTCAGTGAGTTTGGCCATGTTGTGGAGCTAGTTTGCTGTCTCTGCGAAGTAGCTGTCTGTTACTCTACAGCAGGAAGCAGCACCAAAATAAAAGCTCTGTGCTAGAAATTCACTGTACTTCTAAATAAAATGTGTTTTTTATCAACTTTACACATTTCAGAGTCACTTGCTGTCCATTCAGAAGGGACGCACGACCCACTTTTAGACTGCGACCCACCAGCTGAGAACCACTGATCCCATTGTAATCAAGAATGTGTCATCAACAAAACAGTGTCAGTGACAAAAACAAACAGTTTTAGTGGATGTAAATTGGCAGTGCACAATTGCCTGTTACAGTGACATTGTAGCCTGCTTCATTGCTGCTGGCTGCAGTGTTCTCACTCACTACTGGACCAGTTTAAAAAATTGTTCCCATGTCTGCCTTTTCAAATCTGTATGGAAAATACTGTGAACCATTTAAGGTGACCACTGATAGAAAAACACATATTTAACTGTTGGAGTTATGGTCTTACCAATTAAGATCTGGCCACATTTGATAGCCGGGCTGTTGGGTATTAATCCATGAACAGTCAGTCTTTCCTCCTGCCCGACCACTGAAGGGTCTCCCTGTCCTCTGCTCCATGAGGGGCGATGCACCACCCCCAGCAGCGCTTCCAGCAGGCCTCCACTGTCCGAGAGAGGTGTTGATGACCCTCCAAGGCGTTTAGGGTTGAGGTAGACGCACACTTCCTTCAGCTGCTGCTGCTGAACCATCACACCCTGCCTTTGACCCGGCTGGTTCTTCAGGATGGACGCTGGAGGCGACGATACAGCAGAGTTGTCTTTACCCCCATCCTTCCCTCCTCCTCGGCGCTGAGACGGACGCCGTTTTCGCCTCAAGATCCTGGCTAGCTTTTTAAGCGCTGGCTCGTTTTTCGTCTGTGAACCGCAACGCTGCTTCTTGTTTTGGTCTGTGATGATCTCGGCCTCCTTTTCGCTGAAGCGAACATGATTGGTGGAAACACCTTGGTTGGCGGTGGCTTGGGCCAAGGCAGCCTCCTCTTCGCCCTCACTCAACTCCAGGTAGAAGAGCTCGCCATTCTTTTGGATGTCATCGAGCCATTCAGGTTCCAAATCACTGAGAGAAAACAAACAGAGCTTTAAAAGGTACCTGGAGTCAGAGGCAGAGTGGTATGAAACTGGGGATACAGTGGGAGAAACAAGACATGTACTGATATGAATAAAAAAGTACAACAAATGCCTCCACTTGTTTGCCATCATTTCCACATCATTACTTCTTTCTGTCCCAAAAAGGATGAAACATTATCTGTGCAGTTTCAGCCATTGTTGTGCCTGACTTGTTTTCAGATCACTGACATACTAAGTCAAAAATACTATTGTTTTTTCTGATATATCAGATATTGCTCATGTTTATACTGTAATGCAGAAACAAAAACGCTAAACTAAAAACAACTACATGTACAAAGTTTGAACACAAGCTTGACCAAAAGGGTGGGATTAAAAACTATTTTCTCTTTTGGTTTCTCTCCTTTTAACCCTGCTTTGAAGAACCTGCGGTTGGCAGCTTTGACGTGATATCCATAAATCTACTGAGGACGGCAAAAAGCATACAATTATTTATGAAGGTTTACCTCCCAGATTGAAAACACTCCCCAAAAGCTATGAAAAGCACAGGGGAGGAGCAATGGTGAAGTGTGTGGATGGGCTGACGCTCCGTCCTCCCTCTTTGGCAAAGCCAGACACTGACTCACATTTAGGAGTATTTATATTAACAAAACAACTATTTTTGGATCACATGTGGTGATAAATGATATAAAGCAGCAGCACAGCACAGCCTAAGGTTTGTATCTGCAGTGTAAACCATGAAAAGACTGTCAGCATCTCTTCCTCATGAAGTTTTTTAAAGTTCAACCATCTGATACAATCTTAAACAGCTTTAAGGTGTCGTATACTGTCATATGCATGTGCAAATTGTTTGTTTGCTGTCTCAGAGTCAAATGTCTTACTCAGAGTAGTCGGAGCTGTTGAAACTCGGTGATGTGGATTCACAGTCACTACCGTCACCGTGCTCGGCATCTTCTTCTTCCGTTTGTCCGCTACTAAGAGCTTTTCCGGTACACTCACGCGCGTTTGCGGAGGCCATTTCTTCACGTGACGTTTCTATCCCCCACGGTAATCTCGAAACGCGTTTTAAAAAGCTCAACTTTTTCACAGAAACCCACGGTGAAATTCGCTCGCCATGTTGTAAGCATCGATGAGCTCGCTGTTGTATCACGTGACGCGAATGCGCCCAATCTGATTGGCGGAAGGCGCAGTTGCCCCGGACAACGCAGAAGCTTTCCGAGCAGAGCATTCTTTTGCCTGTGTGGCATGGGCCACCGTGTGCCAGTTTACCTGGCAGCACGAGACTCTCAACGAGTTAAATAATGCAGCTGCCACACAGACAACACCACATACCTGCTCACATTATATTTACAGGACTATTTAATTCAATTTGACACTATATTCAGAAACAATGGGGATAATATGCAACATTTTATTTAAATATCACACTTTAAATCATTAGAAAATGCATAAAAAGATAATAAGATAATAAGATCAACCTCACTTCTTGACGCCACAGCAATTACGGAAGTTGGCACTGAGGATGCAATGACCACAAATTGTCTGCCTCTACTATATTTCAAATTAAATGCACATTTCTGCTTTTATTTTATTGCCCTCATTTTCTCCAACTCCCTGCGGGCGTGCACGAGGTTTTTAAATCCCCTCCGGTATTCAAAGTGCCTCTGACCAATCAAAAGCACACTTTAGATTAATCTACAAGCTCTATTACAATGCATCTTGTAAAGGCTGTACTGACCTGTAAAGGAGAACACTGCGAATAGAGTCGAAGTCCTCTAAGTTTTTAGAGAATGAACCTCCATCTATAGAAATGTTAAACATCATTTGTGTGTCATGTTGTCGCCGGGCCAACAGCGCTGTTAACTCAAGCTGTCCAGTTCGTGTAGAAGCAAATTAAAACTCCAAAATGTCCCCAAAGAAACGCTTTAAAAGCAATTTGTCCGCAGCCACAAGTCCAGATGAAATGAATTCCTCTCCTCTGTCCCGTGTGAAGTTTCTGCCCGCATGATGCAGGCTGAACTGCGTCTGCAACACCACAACGAGTCCTCCTCCAGTTTCTCACGTCAATCACTGACCCAGAGGAGGGGACGGTCCAACACCGACGCTATTCAGAGGCAGCAGAAACCCACTTTGAGTGTTTCTCCAGGCCAGCAGAGCGGAATTTGTCCCAGCGGTCCTCTTGGCAGGTGGAGTAAAAACCCGCCTCCTCTGGGCGACCGACACAAAGCTCAGCAGACAAGCCCACAGCGTCCTATTCAAGCCTGGGGAAATAACATAGCTGTCCCCACGCGTATCCCTGGCAATGCTCCCAACAACATGTCAGGCACAAAGACACCCTCAGGTTATTTACTTTAGCAGAGCAATAAACTTTGATTGGTGCTGTGGGTTGTTTTCATGCCAGGCTGCAGCAGCAATATAATATCCATTACATACAATATCCTATAAAGAATGTGCAGCATTTAAAACGTTATTATGCAAGATAAAAGCTACTTCAGCTGTAAGAAAGCTATTTAAAATGCAGTTTAGTGAGGAGTAAAAGTGGTTTGTTGCTTTTCAGTTTTGAATATTGCCTTAAGATTCTTATTACTTGACAGACAGTGAGGAAGGGAGTGAAATATGTCACACCGAAATGCAGTGAATTTATATGACCCTAATTTTGAGGTTATTAAATACAAAACTTGTACAATAATTGGGTTCACGTATCTATAGTAATATTGGCACCAGTATTATAGATAGTTCTGTCAATTATGGACGAATACTGCTATTAATACTACTTGTCCAACACAACCATCAGCCCAGACTACAATTACACCTTCACTGCACTTTCCTCCAATATCTACGATTCTTAATTTGATTTTCAACATTCTTGCGTAACCACTCTGATCATACTCCTTCCCTCATTGTCCCCAGAAGAGACAGTGAACGGTCATCAAAAGCAGAGAGCATATGAACTGAATCAAGTCTCTCTGCCCGCTTCGCGCTCAAGAAGGAGTATCACCAACTCATCATCGTGGCTAGCGAGACCAAACACTTTAGAAACACATTTCTCAAGTTAAGAACTATAGAAATGATCCCTGAAAGTATAGTCTTAACCTCTACACTGCCCTAACCCTACTATTCATATGGCGAACCTGTGCGTCACCATCATGGTGCTCACATCCCAACACTGCACAGCACATGTTTATACTAAAATATTATCACATATATAACATCTTAACAGCAAAGCAATGGACAACAATGAATAGAAGCAACAATATACACATATATCCGCATTTGTTATCGAGAAATAACAACTCTAAACGCACGATAATTACAATATTTGACACAATAAATACATTTTAACACCGATCTACAGACGACACAAAGCACAGCAGATACATGACAGCTGTTCCTAGAATAAAATACTTAATAACTGTTAAAATAATCTATAAATATATGTATTCACAATACCCACAATGCTTTCTGGTGACATATCTGTCCTTCAAAGTCTCTCATTGGCTGCTGTGGTGCCGCATGGCAGCGTGTTAACCTCCAATGCTAACAACAACATTAACAAAACTAATGTTTCTAGAGCCGACATTTAAATATATCTTCAAGACATGTACATTGGCTGAATGCTGGCGTCACATTATATAAAACAGGTTAATGCAGGAATTTCGTCACGAAGAAAAAGACGATAAAATCACACTTTAACGTTAAGAGGAGCTAGATAGTGACGGGCTAAGTGTGCACCGCGTTTTGGCTTCCGACGACAAACGAGGTTCCACCATAGTTCCCATGTGTGACTAAATATCGCGATAAATAACGAGACATGTTTAAGTCTTAAAATTATACAGGGCGCAGTTTACAACTTTATCACACTGCAACAAAATATTTAAAGCTATTAAGAGTTTCTTTAGGAACAGTTGGGGGACATATTTTCTTGCTCATTTGAAGTTTTCTCGTTAAACCACATGGTGCAATCTTCTTCTATGCCAATGTTCATTTGCATTTCGTAAAAATCATAATTTAAGCAGTAGTTTAAGTACATAAACGTAACGGTTTGTATTACAATAGTTTCACAGCGTATTAGCTCATTGTTATTACTGTTGCATTATCACTGAGTAAAAGATTAGCATTGTCTAAAAGGCCCAAAATATTTGTATTAAAGTGCCTGTAACTGTACCCTGTAGGTACGGGTTACGTAAGTCTGCGCGAGGAGGTTACGCAGCACCAGCTAGCAATGTCGGTCGGCCCACCTACGAACTTAACACATATTTGAAGACAGACCGAATATGACGGTTCATCTTTTTATCCTAAACATGTTAAAACCACCATTTGTTTTATAAAGACTGTGACTATAAGTGTCTTCACGCGACAACCTTCAGAATAGTGACAGGATAACGGTGATGCTAACGTTAGCTAACGTTATGTGTACCGTTAACTGACTAACCGTCTGAACTTTCAGCCAATAACTGACATTACTTTACAGCTTCAAAGAAAACCCCAAACGATGCACATATTGCAAACTGTTTTAACTAGATTTAATGTTAAGATATAGCAACAGTACTTTGAAAACAAAAACCTAGAGGATTTACTCACCATCCGTCAGGTAAATACGGTAAAATGTCCCTCCCTTGCAGAAATCGCGCACCTTCGCGCATGCGTAATCGAGACAGGAAGATAACGTTAACAACGTTAAAATAAATAAATAAAATAAAATAAAATAAAATATCAAGACAGGAATATAACGGTCACAAAGTTAAAATAAATAAATATTAAGACAGGAAGACAACATTTACGAAGTTAAAAGATAAAACAAAAAAAATAATATCAAGACAGGAAGATAACGTTTATAAAGTAAGGAAGCAAGTGAATAAATAAATAAATACTATATATTTTTTTAAAGCTTAAGTCCTATATATTGTCGGTGGAAGACAATAAATTACATACATTGTTAGGAGGCAGTTAACAAAAATAAGTGTAGATGTGTCCTTTCTGAAATAAAAATTAAAAAAGGAATAAATACGAACCTCCTTTCCTCTTTTTTTTTCCTCTTCCCAAATTTCTTTAACCTTGTTAGTGAGTGGTAATATATTTAAAAGGTAAATTGCAGTTTTTCTTTATGTGGAGCACAGACTGTCTGTTTCAGAATATAACTCTAACGTGTATGTTTGTCATATTCACAACTGTATAACAACCTGGTATGCTCCTCTACAGATTTGTCTCACAACCCCAGGCTGCATGGCTTATATGTTTGTCATGTTATATCACAAGTTTACTAACTTGTAACTGCATCTTTTAACATTCTTATCAAGATCTTCTTTATAATTGTTGTATCTTATTTTTGTCTTATTGCTGCTCTGCGTACGTCCATGCTTCAAAATATGGCTATAATCAATATTGCTCAGCTCTATTTTGTTGCTTAATGTTGCTTGTTGGCACATCTATATGTGCTGAACAGAGGATATTGTTGATGTATTGTATTCACCAAAGGACTACAGTAATGTAAGGATTACAGAGGGGGCCCAGACCCAAGGGCTCAAAGTGTCAGGGGCCTCCTCTGGCCTTCACCTGCGAAATGTTACTATAATGAACATGTACCAACCAGGAAGAGACTCAAGATGACCACAGAGACAAACAACAAGACCACAAAGTCATGCAAAGAAACTGAAAAGAGACACAAGATTACTAAAAGAGACACACAGTGGGCAAAAAAGACACATGGCCACACACAGAATTAGGCAAGGCAAGGCAGCTTTATTTGTATAGCACATTTCATACACAAGGGCAATTCAAAGTGCTTTACAGAAACATATAAAAACATAGCAAAGGATACAGAAAAGATTAAAGAGAAAAAAAATATAAAAGGTAAAATGAATTACTAAATGACTTACAATTAATAAAAATCACCATTAAAAATAACAAACGTGCAGACAAGAGCTGCAAAGATAAAAAGATGATCAGAATTTTCACAAAGAGAAACCACAAAACTACACAAAGACGCGTAATGACTACACAGAGATGCAAAACAACAGTAACAAACAAGAGGAAAAACCACCATGAAGTCTGTGTCTCTGACTTATATGTCGGAGAAGTTGTGGGTCCTTTTTAAAGTCTGTGCCCAGGGGCCTACTGTCTTATAATCTGCCCATGACTACAGTTGAAAATCAGCCTGCTGGCCATCACATATATGTTTCTCTTTATAGTAATGTCGATTCATGTGCATCTTCCTGATATATAAATAAATGAAACATGAAGCAGTACAATAATGCATATGTACCTTATGTTTTTCTAAGAAGAATTAATGCAGCAAAAAAAATTCCTTTTCAGAAACTCCATTACATCTTATTAGTGGTATTAAGTAATGAATAATACAGATTATAATGTGCCCGTGCATTTGGCGTTATATCAGTGTTATACCACCCCCTGCTGGCGGTTGGTGGAAATGTAACTTCCACACAGGAACTGACCCAAAGTCTGTTTTAATAATTTTTTTTAAAACGCCACACAAACAAGGCAAACTACCCAATATTTGATTTATGTCTGGCTGTACTGACTCCTGTTGTTTATTTCCTTTAAAATCTAACATTCATCCTTTTGGCCCTGCCCCCTCCCCTTTGTTTACTCTGACGTCATTCACATGCGCCGCTCACATGGAAGCGTTGAAGCCGGGTATGTTTCCTCTTTTCCTGCCTCCCGGTCACTTATTTGTTGCTTTTAATGTGTTATTTATTGGATTTCAGATAAAACTACGATCTTGAAAACATCTGGCGTCATGATATCTGTTTAAATATGTTTTTTTTGTCTGTTAAATGCCATAAATAACTACATTTAATAGATCCAGTGGAGAGCAAACAGATGGCGCATAACAGCTCAGATGAGTGTGAAAAGCAGCTGAATGGAGTTTCAGAGGAGATGGATCTGCTTCAGATAGACGTGGACACGGCTGAGGTGGAGGACAGGCCAGAGAGAGAAGCTGCGGGGTTTTCAGTAAGTTTGTTTACTCTCATTTTAAACAAGAATAACTTTAAAACCTGTTTACACTTACATGAATCTCCAGGGTAGCACCTAAAGTTATCATAGTGTTACGTTATTTATTACATGATTATTGATGCTATAAAATATTAAAGAAAGAAAGAAAAGAAAAAACATATGAGTCTAAAAACTGGAAAAACCTGAAAACAGCCAAATACAAGTGTAAAGGTGCATCAAAAAAACAAACAGAAAGCAACAAATGATCTGAGCATCACAGCTCACACAAATGATCTTGTTTGATTTCTGGTCTGATGTGCAGTCAAAAAACTCCTTCAAATAAGGGATTTTGTTAGGAAGAATATTGCAACATCTCCCTCCCAAACTCCTGCCAGCTGGCTAGAGGATTGTATTCATGAGAGTCCATCTGAGCATAACTCAATATCCTAAATTCATGATATCCTGCTGTCGGTAGCCTAATTTTGGTTTAGGTCATATTCAGGTTTTAAGATTACTTTGGTTGATATAATATCTGGTTCTCCATCATTTCAGAAACTTTTAAGACCATTTGGCTTCTAAAATATTGTCAAAACCTTTCAAACAAGATTAAAAAACCATCGCTGACAAGCTAAAAGCCAACCAAAGTTTACACAGATGCCTGGTTTCCTCCTAAAACAGATGGTTTTCATAGTTGATGAATAAATAAAACAATTTGTTAATGTAGTATCCCAGTTATTTATGCAATTTGTCTTAAAATACTGTAGCTGTCTTTAGTCACTCTGCATTGTTAATCGTTTTTGTTGTTGTTGTTAATGAACAGAAAAATGTACTGAGGAAGCAGCGTCACTGGGAGAGGCAGCTGGCAGCGAAGAAAAGCAAGAGAAAAGAAGAGAAGCAGCGAAGGAAGCTCAACCGTGAGCAGGAGTCAGGTACAGATCCAGTGAAGTGAATTAAACACACATTTTGCCTTTGAATGATGGAGACTGGAGGTAAAAGTCAGAGCCATGCAGTGTTTCCCTGTGTTTTCGTCATACAGATGCCGGCGCAGATAATCCTCAGTTGACCAAACGGGTCATGAAAGCAATCACCAAAGAGCGTTTAGCTGAAGCTCAGTCTACAGGGCTCAAACTCTGTGTTGACCTGAGTATGACAGACAGCATGTCTGACAAGGTAGGTGCCACAAAACTGCACCATGAAACTCTCAGAGACTAATTCCAAGAATATAGAGGGTTCAAAACTGTGGAAGCCCTTTTGGGGTTTTCCCAGTGTGATGAACAAAAGATCCTGTAAGTCATTAAACTGAGAAACTTTATCAAAATAATGATTTACATATTTCATGATCAATTAATATCTCAAAAATAATGAGACATGACAGTCATTATCTCAAGAAAATTTCTAATTTTCAAATTGCTTCTCATTATTTTGAGATACTGAGTCAATCTTTTGAGATTCTAACTCATGATTTTGAGTCACTATTTTTAGATACTAAGTCACTATTTAAAGATTGAGTCATTATTTGGAGATATTAAGTCATTAACTTTAGATACTAACTCACTATTTAAAGATATTAAGTCATTATTTTTGAGATACTAAGTTATTCATTTTAGATACTAAATCATTATTTTGAGATACTAACTCATTAATTTAAGATACCAAGTCATTATTTTGAGATATGAAGTCACTATTTAGAGATTCTAACTCATTAATTTGAGATACCAAGTCATTATTTTGAGATACTAACTCATTAATTTGAGATATTAAGTCACTATATAGAGATTCTAACTCATTAATTTAAGATACCAAGTCATTATTTTGAGATACTAACTCATCAATTTGAGATATAAAGTCACTATTTAGATTCTAAGTCATTAATTTAAGATACCAAGTCATTATTTAGAGATTCTAACTCATTAATTTGAGATACCAAGTCATTATTTTGAGATACTAAGTTATTCATTTTAGATACTATGTCATTATTTGAGATATTAACTCATTATTTTTCGAGATACTAAGTTATTATTTTGAGATTCTAAGTCATTATTTTGAGATACTAACTCATTAATTTGAGATATGAACTCATTTTGAGATTCTAAGTCATTATTTTGAGATACTAACTCATTAATTTGAGATATGAACTCATTTTGAGATTCTAAGTCATTAGTTTGAGATACTAACTCATTAATTTGAGAAATTAACTCATTATTTTTGAGATATTAAGTCACTATTTAGAGATTCTAACTCATTAATTTGAGATACCAAGTCATTATTTTGAGATACTAAGTTATTCATTTTAGATACTATGTCATTATTTGAGATATTAACTCATTATTTTTTGAGATACTAAGTTATTATTTTGAGATTCTAAGTCATTATTTTGAGATACTATCTCATTAATTTGAGATACCAAGTCATTATTTTTGAAATACTAACTCATTAATGTGAGATATTAACTCATTATTTAGAGATTCTAAGTCACTATTTTGAGATTCAAAGTCATTATTTTGAGATACTAACTCATTAGTTTGAGATATGAACACATTTTGAGATTCTAAGTCATTATTTGGAGATACTAACTCATTTATTTGAGATATTAACTCATTATTTTTGAGATATTAAGTCACTATTTAGAGATTCTAAGTCACTATTTGAGATACTAACTCATTATTTTGAGATATTAAGTCATTATTTTGAGATATTACATCATTATTCAAAAGTTCTGGGTCACTATTTTGAGATACTCATTATTTTAAGAGACTCAAGCCACTATTTTAAGATACTAAGTCACTATTTTGAGATATTAACTCATTATTTTAAGAGACTAAATAGTGACTTAATATCTCAAAATAATGAGTTAGTATCTCAAATAGTGACTTGGTATCTCAAAATTCAAAAAAGATTCTAAGTCACTATTTTGTGATACTAAGTCACTTTTTTGAGATATTAATTCATTTTAATAAACAAAGTCATTATTTTGAGATATTGTCATTATTTTGAAATACTAAGTCACTATATACAGATTCTAAGTCACAATTTTGAGATATTAACTTATTTTGAAATACTAACTCATTATTTTAAGTCTTTATTCAGATACTGACTCAATAATTTGGGATGCTAACTCATTTCTGAAACGGGCTTCCACATAAACAACTGGTTTTTCTTTCCTAAAATGGTTTTCTACAGAGATACATCTGCCTTTGTTTCGCTTGTCTTGAACTGTGTGTGTGTTTGTGCTGTTCAGGAGATAAGTCGACTGGCCGGCCAGTTAAGAAGGCTGTACGGCTCGAACAAGAAGGCGACTCGACCATTTCACCTCCTCCTGACGGACCTGAGAGAGGACAGCCGTCTCTACAGAGAGTGCCTTCGAATGAACGAAGGCTTCCTCAACTACATGGTGACTATTATTGTTCACACCCTGATATACAGTACAGGCCAAAAGTTTGGACACACCTTCTCATTCAATGCGTTTTCTTTATTTTCATGACTATTTACATTGTAGATTCTCACTGAAGGCATCAAAACTATGAATGAACACATGTGGAGTTATGTACTTAACAAAAAAAGGTGAAATAACTGAAAACATGTTTTATATTCTAGTTTCTTCAAAATAGCCACCCTTTGCTCTGATTACTGCTTTGCACACTCTTGGCATTCTCTCCATGAGCTTCAAGAGGTAGTCACCTGAAATGGTTTTCCAACAGTCTTGAAGGAGTTCCCAGAGGTGTTTAGCACTTGTTGGCCCCTTTGCCTTCACTCTGCGGTCCAGCTCACCCCAAACCATCTCGATTGGGTTCAGGTCCGGTGACTGTGGAGGCCAGGTCATCTGCCGCAGCACTCCATCACTCTCCTTCTTGGTCAAATAGCCCTTACACAGCCTGGAGGTGTGTTTGGGGTCATTGTCCTGTTGAAAAATAAATGATCGTCCAACTAAACGCAAACCGGATGGGATGGCATGTCGCTGCAGGATGCTGTGGTAGCCATGCTGGTTCAGTGTGCCTTCAATTTTGAATAAATCCCCAACAGTGTCACCAGCAAAACACCCCCACACCATCACACCTCCTCCTCCATGCTTCACAGTGGGAACCAGGCATGTGGAATCCATCCGTTCACCTTTTCTGCGTCTCACAAAGACACGGCGGTTGGAACCAAAGATCTCAAATTTGGACTCATCAGACCAAAGCACAGATTTCCACTGGTCTAATGTCCATTCCTTGTGTTTCTTGGCCCAAACAAATCTCTTCTGCTTGTTGCCTCTCCTTAGCAGTGGTTTCCTAGCAGCTATTTGACCATGAAGGCCTGATTGGCGCAGTCTCCTCTTAACAGTTGTTCTAGAGATGGGTCTGCTGCTAGAACTCTGTGTGGCATTCATCTGGTCTCTGATCTGAGCTGCTGTTAACTTGCGATTTCTGAGGCTGGTGACTCGGATGAACTTATCCTCAGAAGCAGAGGTGACTCTTGGTCTTCCTTTCCTGGGTCGGTCCTCATGTGTGCCAGTTTCGTTGTAGCGCTTGATGGTTTTTGCGACTCCACTTGGGGACACATTTAAAGTTTTTGCAATTTTCCGGACTGACTGACCTTCATTTCTTAAAGTAATGATGGCCACTCGTTTTTCTTTAGTTAGCTGATTGGTTCTTGCCATAATATGAATTTTAACAGTTGTCCAATAGGGCTGTCGGCTGTGTATTAACCTGACTTCTGCACAACACAACTGATGGTCCCAACCCCATTGATAAAGCAAGAAATTCCACTAATTAACCCTGATAAGGCACACCTGTGAAGTGGAAACCATTTCAGGTGACTACCTCTTGAAGCTCATTGAGAGAATGCCAAGAGTGTGCAAAGCAGTAATCAGAGCAAAGGGTGGCTATTTTGAAGAAACTAGAATATAAAATATGTTTTCAGTTATTTCACCTTTTTTTGTTAAGTACATAACTCCACATGTGTTCATTCATAGTTTTGATGCCTTCAGTGAGAATCTACAATGTAAATAGTCATGAAAATAAAGAAAATGCATTGAATGAGAAGGTGTGTCCAAACTTTTGGCCTGTACTGTACACTGACACATTAATATTCCTCAGAGAGAAGATAAAGCTCAAAATCTCTGCAGTAGTTTTGTTTGTCCAAGTTAAAGGCTTTGAAATGAACCAGTAGACAAATATTTTAAGTGTTATTTTAACCCTAAAACTGAATACATAAGATGGTACATAATCTGGACCATGGATACTTTGAATATTTAGCAACAAAGTCTGATTATTTTTAATGTGTCTCTTTAATTCAGATGGACATAACAGAAGAAAGCTGCCTGGACCTTTTCCCTCCAGAAACTGTCGTCTACCTCACACCAGATGCTGAAGAAGGTTTGAATGATTTGTCTCAGTGGAGAGGACAAACTTCTCAGAGGGCTTAAATTGTATATTTATAAAAGGTTTTTAGTTGAAATACATCTTTTGGCCAGCAGAGGGCGCATTCTAACCACATTCATAACTGATCATCAGTATAGCCACTTCAACTTTTACTACTCATACTGTTAATACCACCACTAGCACTTCACTAAATGATGTTTTCAAAATTACACATACTAAAACACAGAGATAATTTAAAGTTAATAAAAACCTAAATGAACAGAGACAAAAAAAAATCAGATTTCAGATCAAAGCTATAATGTCGTATGTATATTCCTATGTCTACATTGGGAATGCACCAGTCTCAATACTGATAACTGGGCTTTGGGTATCGTCCAATACCAAGTACCAATCTGATACTAGTGTTTAATTGATTAGATGTATGCCTCACTGTGTGGAAGTGACTGTTTGATTTTCTTCGCTACTATTTTCTAAATATCTGTTTTTTAATTTCAGCTCTACAAACAGTGGATGCCGACAAGGTGTACGTCCTCGGGGGCCTCGTGGATGAAAGCATCCAGAAGGTATTACACATTAAGACACAACACAGACGTCACGTAGCAACAACTAGATCAGCTAATTAAATATGACTGATTGGATGTTGGTTTTCTTTAATTAATCGGCATAAGATTAACATTATTTTGTGTTCAGGCCAAATTAAATCCAGCTTTCATTATTACTGCAGTGGAATAACTACAGTTAGGTGAGATTATATCGGTGCATGTGTGATATGTTATTTATTTGCTGCTGTCTCTCGGCTGTAGAAGTTGAGCTTCTCGAGGGCCACAGAGCTGAGGGTCCACACAGCGAGGCTGCCCATAGACGAGTACATGGTGAAGAAAGACAACGCCAAGAATTTCCACTCAAAGATCCTCGCTGTTAATCAAGGTGAGCCATCTGCTGCAATGATTAGTCGACTAATCGATTTATTGCCAACTGTCTTTTTTTTTTATCTCTGTTTTACTCATGTTAAACTAAATATCTTTGGGTTTTGAACTGACCAAATGAGACATTAAAAGACATTTTTCTCTATCATCTGTCATTTTATAGACTGAATGGTTAATCTTGAAATCAATCATAAAAATAATCATTAGTTGCAGCCCTTATTAAATTATAATTTGATTACTATTTTGTGTTTGTTATTGATGGAGTCTGTCTCTTTGTTTACAGTGTTTGACATCTTACTGACTTTCTGCAACACCGGCAGCTGGACAGAAGCCCTGCAGATGTGGTTCCCTCGGGGGAAGGGTTATGTTGTCGCGCCAGAGAATTCCTCACCACTTCCTGTCTCCTCTTCACAAACATAGCACCTAGATCCATTTTCAGTCATGCTTCAAACTTAACCCTTTATTGGTTCATCACTATCCATTGTGAAATTTTTCCCGATTGCTAAGAGGCTTTTTTTTTTTGACACCACTTTTTCTAAACAGTTCTCACAGATCTCACAGGAAGATGCAAAACTCTGTGTTGCTATTTGCAAGCATGGATCAAAGAGGAAAAAGGGACATAATTCCTAGCCCCCGTGACACATTGCATGAATTATGGGTGGAACTTCCAGCGTTGAACCAAAACTGGCGATTTCCACTGGTAACAGTTTGTTTACAGTCACTCTATTCTTCTTTCCAAGAGCAACTGGGAAATAAAACGTGGAACACACCAGCTGTTAGAGCTCAAACAGGGTTATGTGATCATTATCTCTGCCATCTGCTCCATCTGCTCCATTTAAAGAGATACTAACACATTCAGCAAACATTTAACATAAGTCAGTATTAACTGTAGCCCCATGTAAAGTAAATAAATGTGATGTTTCCCAGCTAATCCTTCACTCGTCTGTGTGAACAAATAATTTTCTAATGTAGGTTGAGAATGAAGTCAGACGGGGAAAGACAAGGATATCATGTACTGACGTAGAGTGACGGACCTGTCAGTCTAAATCATTCTCCTCTGCGAATTCTGATTTAATACTTTTTCTCTCTGTCTTGTGAAACTCTTGTGGTTTTAGTTCTCATATCAATGGTACCTTTTGCAACAGGAACAATCCCTTTTTGTTCTGGTTACATGTTGAACACACAGTTGCTGAGGACAGAAATGTAGCTTGGACTGGTTGTTAGTCGTTACAGACACGGACAGTGCAACAGGTACCAGAGCTCCACAAAGACATTTTAAAAAAGTTAACATTAGTTAAATATCTGTTAAAAAAATAATTCAGTATTTGCTAAACTGAAGGCAAATTACTTTCTAAAAGAACCAGCGTTGGCGGTTAGCCACCAAGAGTAGCCACTGGGACTCACCACAGACAGTCTCTGGGACTAACTAGCTTACTGCTACTTCCTCTATCTCACAGGAAGTTGCACCTATGATCATTTCTACAGCGGTGCCCTCAGGAATAAGGTGGATATAGCACCTTTTTTACAAGAAATGCAGCACAAGAGTCTAGAGAGAGTCTTTAGTGGCACTAAGCTATGAAAACCAATGCAGACAAGTACAAAGAAAAAAAAAAGAAAAGAAAAAAAAGAAATGCAGCACAAAGTGATTTACAATAAGGGCAGTATAAGCAATCAGAGCGAACATAAAACAGGCAAACAAGGCAACTCAATATTCTGTCCTCCTTGTCTTCCTCTCAACTGTCTTCATAAACTCCAGTTGGTCCAGAATTCAACCAACTGTATCATAACCAGAACCTCCTCCAGAGATCATATCTCTCCTGTTCTCCAGCAGCTTCACTGGCTTCCTGTCAAATATCGCATCGACTTCAAGATTCTGCCTCTCACCATTAATAACGGAGCCACTTCCTACCTGTCTGAACTCCTTCTTATCTACACACCCTCCCATATTCTTATCTCTTCTTAACTCTTCTGCAATCCAACTCACAAAACTATATGCCCACTTGACTACCATGTGGGCTCTACAGCCTTCAGCCATTCTACCACCCACCTCTGGAACTCTCTCACCCACCACATTCACAATATTATACCAATATACTCTCTTTCTACTTTCAAATCCCGTCTGAAAACACACCTTTTCATGCTGGCATATTCGGTTTGATTTAATGGTGACACACATATGGTGACCTGCACTGAAGATGACTTTATGATGATGACTGTATACTTTATATTTATAATTATGATTTTTGTCTAGACATTTTATTAACGTTTATTGTATATTAAGGAATTGTTTGATTTTATGATCTATGGATACATTGCTGCTTTTTTTTTTTTTTTTTACTGTATCTTGTAAAGTGTCCTTGAGTGCTTTGAAAAGAGTCTATGAACAAAATGCATTATCATTATTATTTGTAATATTAAAGGACATAATATTATATCATAAAATAACTGCTACATTTTAAAAACATACATCATAAAATCAAGTAAGATACAACATTTTAAAAGAAATGCAGCAATGTGAAGTGTAAGAAGAAAGAGTTTCAGGCCTGTGTCACTTGCAAAAATAATGACGTTAAAGCTGTTGCAACGTTTCGATGACTAGTCAACTGTTTGTTTGCCTTGTGCAGGTCTAGTCTAGTCTAGTCTTTTCTACAAGTTTTACTCTTCCCATCCCTCTCCTATGCACCTGTTTGAAAACAGATGTGCGACTTGTACCTTCGTTTTGAGATCTGTATCAGTAAAGTCGTAGCTAGTTAAAGGTTGGAGAAAACAGATACACTGTTAGCTTTATTTAAAAAAATATTTATTGAGCTGCCCTCTCTGATATCAATACATCATGTGCTCCATAGCTTTGGGGCGTAACTGACAAAAGCCAAATCCCTGATCTTCTTCCGGTTGTTGCTGTGAACCTCCAATAAACCAGCAGCAAATATCGCAGTGTTCTTGGAGGCAAATAATTACCAACATAGCTCGGTTTTAGTTCATCTAGGGCTTTGTATACAAGGAAGAGGACTTTGAAATCAATTGTACATGTAACAGGAAGTCAGCGCAGAGCAGCCAAGTTAAGACTGGCCTTACGTGCTCTCTTCTCTTGGTTCCTGTACCATTAACTGTAAGTCTTTCATGTCAGTGACGGTTGATGGGGGTGAAAAAACTTGCACACGAGCATAAAGCATGAAGAAAACTTGCAGGTGCAAAGTACTAACTCATGCTGTGATATGCTTGTTTGCTTTTTCTGGCATCTACTATAAGTATGCAAAGGCACACAGCGCAAATCACTGCAAGATTGAATCGCCTGGTATTGAAAGCTGTATTTGATATTTTGTTGTCCACTGGGTAATGATTGATTGACTAAATATATTGATTCGACCATTGCATGTTTTTAATGTTTTATGAGTGTTTGAGATTGTCACTTTAACCAGAGACTTAAACTTCAAGCCTGTGTGTTTGACAATATAATGTGTTCAAGCGAATGAGACAGACAATACGATCCAATAAGACCCTGGCTGAGGAGAAATAGATGCTGTTGTTTAACATTTCTTGGTATTGTTTGCATTGAAACCAGAGATGATTATTAGTTCTCATTTGACTTCATGAACAGAGAACCTTTTGTATTTTTACACCTCAGGAGTCATGTTTGTTGACAGTGAATGGCAGCATTGTGAGCTCTTTTTTTTTTATCATACATGATTAAATTTCTATTTTATAGCTGGAAAATCCCAGAGGTTTTGTAGGTAAAAAGACAAAAATAATAAACATCTTTACAATGGGGGATTGTCTTTTTTTGTTTTTATTGTGCCTCACTGCAGAGAATTTAACCTTGAAACACTATTTAGGTAATCAGTCTTTGTATATAAAATATTAATACAAACGTGTTAGTTTTTCTGTTGAATGATATGACACAATTTATTTTATGTGGAATTTACACAGTCACACAATGTTAGCACACAAAGTATTGTGCAACAGAAACCGAGGAAATAAACGTAAACCCAGAGATAATGCAGGTGTGAGTCAGCCAGCAGAGGTGAGATGCATCATCCCACCATTCATTCATTCATTTTCTGTAACCACTTATCCTGTTGGGGGTGACGGGCTGGAGCCTATCCCAGCTGACGTTGGGTGAGAGGCAGGGTACACCCTGGACAGGTCACCAGACTATCACAGAGCTGACACATAGAGACAGACAACCATAGAGTCTTTAGACTTTATGTCTTTAGTCTTTAGAGTCACCAGTTAACCTGCATGTCTTTGGAGTGTGGGAGGAAGCTGGAGTACCTGGGGAACATGCAAACTCCACACAGAGGGGCTCCCCCACCCTGGGTTCAAACCAGGAACTCCCCTGCTGCTGTTTAACAAGTTCGTACTCGTACTTGTACTTGTACTCGTACTCGTCGTCCTATGCTTATATGGGTCCGGGACGCGGGGGCAGCAGCCTCAGCAAAGAAGCCCAGACAGTCCTCTCCCCAGCCACTTCCGTCAGCTCTTCCGAGGGAACCCCGAGGCGTTCCCAGGCCTGCCGGGCGATGTAATCCCTCCAGCGTGTCCTATCTCTAAGGCTGAGCCCAGCCACCGTGCGGATGAAACTCATTTCGGCCGCTTGTACTCGCGATCTCGTTCTTTCGGTCACTACCCAGAGCTTGTGACCATAGGTGAGGGTTGGAACGTAGATCAACCAGTAAATTATTAACAAGTTACAGTATTTCAATTTTCCATGATACATTTGGCCTCATAAATGATTATTTTTCAAAGGGTTTTGTTAAACCTAACTCGCATGTGGGAGCTGGATGACCTTTGTCAAGGCAGCTGTCCTTTCTGACCAACATCAGATTTATCTCTCTTTCTATTGTAAATATTTTCATTTCTTGTTAACTCATGTCTGAATCTTCTGTTTTCCAGGGAAGTAAAGGGAGGTGGTTCACTGCCACAGATAGGGATGATTTATTGAGACAAACGGACCTTATTTGGCTTTGTGCATAAGGCTGAGTGCTTTACACCTACAGTTTTCAAAGCGATGGAAAAGAATGGGAAAGAAAGAAACCATCTCCAATGTTTAAAGGAGCTCTGTAAGTGATTTAAATTATGATTCAGGGGCCGGTTGGACAAAGCACCTTAAGTTTGCCCCTTAAGTATGACACTTAAGGTTAGGTTTTTCCTAGCTGAGGACATAAAGGGTGTTGCAGAGAATCTCTTGAAAGGTTTCTTTAGTCAACGAAAGACGTTAAGGCATATTTTACAGCTGTAAAATTTTGTTTCCATGGAGACTATTTGTTTGCTTGAATGTACACTTGTGATAGCCCAGGCACCTGTTGTTGCACCTCATCTCACAAAGTTGGACTGATAGTCAAGACAGGAAGACATGAAAACCAAATTAGTCTGAGGAATAAAATACCTCTAGAAGAAGAAAAGAGACAAACTGAAAGGCAAATTTGATCCGAAAATAACAGCAAACATGAAGCTACGAATGCTAGAAACTAGCTCTGTTGGTGACAGTGTAATTAGGAGAGCAGTTTCATAACATCCAAATGTTATTTTTGGGAAATGGGGCCACTATGCTTTCACGATTTTATCAGCTGTAACAGATGTATGGGTGCAGGTCAGAGCATTGGCAACTGGCAAGCCAGAGGGACACACACACAGGGACTCACATTAGTGATGGGATTTCTCGTTCACTTGTGAGAGCCGGTTCTTTGGCTCTCGTTCACTTTGAAGAGCCGGTTCAAAGATGCAGTTCGTTCGTTCGTTCGTTTTTTGTTTTGTTTTTTTTTGGGGGGGGGGGGGAATTGATGAATCGCATTGCTGATTTATCACATTACATGATCTGGATATTGTAACGTGGACCCAGAATAGACCCTGCACATATAAAGTTTGGTGTGCCATAGCAATGCCCTTTACAAGCCTGCCAATACAAGCAAGTGCTGATAATGGGTTAGCTTC